TTAAGAGAGGAGAAAGAAAGAAAGAAAGAAAGAAAGAAAGAAAGAAAGAAAGAAAGAAAGAGTAGGGAAAATCGTGAGGGGGCGAAAATTCAAATGTTGAAAGAAGATTAGAAAAAGAGATAGATACGACAAAGAAGAAGAAAGAGTAGGAGAATTAACACTATTAAAAGAAATGGTAAAAAAGCCACATAGAAAAAGACAAGGCGGAAAAAGAAGAGGAAGAAAAGAAAAGAAAAGAAAGAAAGATAAAAAAGAAAAAAAGATCGGAAGGAAAAGAAGTGAGAATGTTTGAATAGAGAATAAAGAGGAAAAGGAGGGAAAGCAAAAAGAAAGCAAGAAAGAAAGAAAGAAAGAAAGAAAGAAAGAAAGAAAGAAAGAAAGAAAGAAAGAAAGAGCGAGCTGCAAAACATAGCTGACAAATAATAATAATAATAATTAGTTGTAGTATTAGTATTAGTAATAGTAGTAATAGTACTAGTACAGAGAAGAAGAAGAAGAAGAAGAAGAAGAAGAAGAAGAAGAAGAAGAAGAAGAAGAAGAAATTAAATATTTCCCGTGTTCTTTAAAATATATTGGTAAACCATTAATAATTTTGACCCTGGTTAGAATTGACTGATTGTCGGTGCAATGCGGCATCTGTGACCCCAACAGTATATAAAAACACGAAGGTGTTTGAGGGTGAGGGGAAATAAAGCCTACACAGCCTACATATAAAAAAGGCATCTCTCCCGTCAGAATTATATTTATGTATGGGCCAGTTCATTTGGATGTAAATCTTAGAGTATACTTTAAAAAAAAAAATCGCTAATTACACAAGACCACACCCCGCTTCTTGAGAGAGAGAGAGAGAGGGGGAGAGAGAGAGAGAGAGAGAGAGAATGTGTACGTCTGTTGGCTTGACAGTTATCAATATAGAGGACAGAATCGGTGTGCCGAGTTCAAATTCCGGCTAAGAAAGCCCTCTATTCTCTTCAGTGTGTATCTACCGACGAAGACGCTGAATATGTTATTTAGCTTTCGGTTCCTTATTTTAATAACAAACTCCATGAAGAACGTAAATACTTTTTATATGTGAATAATAAAAAAAAAGGATTTTTATATACCAGATATATTTTTTATTTGAAAATTTCATGTGCTTTCACAACGTGGTCGATCATGACTCTCTACAAATTCATTTTCGGTAATATCCATAAATTGCCATACCTTGTTAGAAAAGATAGAGGAGGAATTTCCTGTTATCTCCCCGCAGTTTAAAATTCAAAGTTTTCCTTTTCTTAGATTCTACGCAAAGTTAGAGAGCCAATTTTGCCCTGGCATTCAATCAATAGCCGGTCGAAAAAGAGGCGAATACATGCCTTTCCTGAGGCTATTAGTGTGAAAGTGATCTTAACAGAGAATCCAAGAATTTGAATTCAACTCGCCGAGTCCAATAAATGTGACGATATTCGTTACTAATTTGGACAAAAAGTACACATGCAATTTTTGTCAAATGTTGAAATGTTTTGTCGGATAAGCCTATGACTGGGTAGAGGCACAAATATTATCCAAGACGTAAGGGTTCAATTTCAATAATAAAAATGAACATGAACATGAACTACCAAAGAATTATGACTAATTGACAGATTAACCCGAAAAAAGATAAAATAATATAGATATAATAATAATAGCAAAAAAAAAAAACAAAAAAAAAAAAAAAAAAAAACAAAAGCAAACCAAAAAACAATATCCCACCAAATGTTTATATTATCATCTGTTACGAAATTGTCCAGCATCTGTTGTTAATATGGTTATCAGGCAAGACTATTTTTCTGTCTGAATTTGTGGAATGAGGTGTTATCATTACTTATACTATTTACATGCGGATTTGTGGCGAACTCGCGTCGGTACAGACGCAAAATTGGCCCCGGCTCGCTTACTGACATGTTTGTCAGCACTAGTTACATTCGGGTTTCCTTGTTAGCAGTGGCACAGCTTAGCATGTTTAGATACATGCCTCTCTGCAACTGGTCAAGATCCGTGTCTTTGTAAGCTGCCAATAAAAGCAACGGGAAACCCAGTAGTCCCCAGTAGGCATGACACAGTGTTTTGTTCCTAAAGTTGCTGTGGTTTCCGAGGTAGTATTATTTTTGTTACCTCCCGCCTATTTCATCTCCCTGCCTATTAATCCTATAATTGCTGGGAGAGAAATCGGTTGGGTGTTTCCCCCATCCTCAAAACACTCTTGCCGTACATTACAACATTGTCCTCATCTTTGTTGTTGATATCACAACATTTTGCACCCCCCGACTTTCATCAGGTGTATATCGATCCCGGTAACCTACAGAGAATTTTGAATTTAACTCTTTATTTACCCTAAGGGGGGCAGGTTGTTCTTGTTCCACTGCGTAAGTCTATGGATATCTCGTCTCTTTCTTTTAGTACTGCTCTGTTATTTATCTCCTTCTTTCCACTGAGTTCATGTAGGCACTAACAGGTCACAAGGATTTAACTCCCAATTTGTCACCAAATTCACAAACAAACGCTTTAGTCCAATAGGCTATTGTTCTGTGGGACAATTCTATGTGAAAAAAATGGAGCCTTAAACCTACTCTGACTGCCAAGGAGTGCTGTAGGTTAACTAAATTGACATACATCTGATGAAGGCCGGAGGGCACAACAGTCGAAACGTTGGGATAAAAACAACAAAAATGACGACAATTTTCAACCCCTTATTGTCTTAGCCCTGCCACTGAAAAATATCCTTAACTATTCATATACACCTTTGGAATTCTGTATTACACTAACGTAGTCATTCATGAGAATTTACTGCTTATAAACATTCACCAAACTATACTCCTCGTTTGAGCAGTTAGACTCGCCTGTGGAGAATAGTAACGCCACCTACTCACACTAGTTGTTACTGATCTGGTTTCTGTAGCAAGTAGGTTTATACGGGATGGAGTTCTCAATCCCACGTCTAACAGGTTTAAATTATCTTTCTCTTAATCCGGTTGCCAACCAAGGCTAGCAATACCCCTTTTAGTATGCTATTTAATTCATAGATGTGTGGAAGGTGAGATGGATTCATATATTTCCGAGGGTATTTAAACAAATGTTCAATAACCTTTGATGGTGATCGATCAGAGAGCATTGGAAGAAATTGCTCAATAGGACAGGGAGAAAAATCGATGAAAGCGAAGGGAGTTCTTCTCAGTATATGTAGATCAGAGGACCACAACCGCACCATAAATGGGTTGATACTCTAGTGTCTGTAAAAAAAAATATGTTGCTGCAAGAAAAGCTGCCAGCCCCACGTCCAATTGGTTTTAAATTTAGGCTTAAACTGCTTGGAAAATGGTTGCCAGTCAAGGCCGAGGTGCTCAATCTGCTCTAAAATTTAACCATTGGTTGGGGATAAAAAATAGATTCATATTTCAGCCATTTTCCCACCACTATGACGTGGCTTCCGTCTGTCTTTTCTATGAATATTTTCATGGTAGTTCTTCTGATAAGCTCTCCTCCTTAGTATATCGATCATATGAATTTAATGGTATCACTAGATTGGTAGTTAGGTCTCATCGTTTTACTGTTGAGCTAGATGCAAATGTTTATTTTATTCCAATGGTTACTTTTTCGCTCTCATAGCCTGTGGAACTCTTTTCCAGTTTCTTGATTCCTTGACACATACAACGTTCAAAAATGTAAAGGCAACGTCAATCGTCATTTTCTGTCGTCTTGATTCCTGATCTGTTATTGTCCTTTCTCCTCATTAACGTATTCTCATTCTCAATTACCCCTGGCGTATTAGTGACATTATTGCCTTGCTTGGGGTGAAAAATGATTCCACTTTCCATGAAAAAAAAAAGCAAAAAAGAAAAAAAAGATGCAAATGTACTTGCTTTAGGAGATACACGACTACAAATCTTTTTTCTCCATACATATTTCTTATAATGTGTGCATCGAATATCTCTGTTGTTTTATTTAATACTTTGACATTGCAACTGCACTTTTTTTTCCTTATTTCAAGCAATAATTCTTATTTACTAAGTGCAAAGTTTTTCATTAAAGATTTTGCGACGAACCTCGAGAAACAATGTTTAATCATTTTACCCAAGAAAGGCGATAAAGCCACTAAGACGCAAAAGTGAAAGAACATGAGAAAAATCATTATTAAGGAGAGAGGACAATAAAAGAATAGGATTCAAAGATACAGAAGATGATGATTGTCATTGCATTTAAAATTCTGAAGAAAATTTCAAAGACATCAGAAGGGAGTTCCAAAAGCGAGAATTGCGAAAGAAATGGTTAGTATAAAACTTACGTTTACATCCAGCAATTTCAACAGTAATATTATGAAACCACGCTCCCAATCTAATACTGCGATTAAATTCTTAAAGTCGAGGTACCAAAGAAGAAAACTTAGAACAATTACCATCAAAATATTTATAGAAAAGGTACAGGTAAGTTCTTTTACGAAGAAGCGAAAGAATGCTACAGAATCATAAACAGCCTTAAAAATTAGCAGAAATTACATCAATTGAAGACTTTCACCAGCAGCAACAACTAAAATGGACAGCACATGTAACTTGAAGAGAAAATAATGACATAATGAAGATGTTAAAATTCTAGACTACTTTAAACAGAAAGATAGGAAGGAAACTCCCATCAATGCCAGAAAGAACGATAAGAATTGATTTGGGAAACCTATTTCCCAGAAAAAAAACTGTTTTAAGAGAAAGATTTTATAATTTTCAACAGAAAGTAACATTAATTGCTGGGTTGACGTGGTTTGGTTTGTTTAATGGCATATCAACTCCTTATGGGTCATTTAATACCAAAATTTAATTTTCTTGGGAACATTGGTAATTTTTTTTCAAACATATATTGCTGGTAATGTATTGGAGGTATTTTTTTTACTATGAAAATATGTTGCTGGTATTCTCACTACAAACACATATTTTTATATTTACATAACGTTTTGACACCAGTTTGGGGGTGTTCGCTATTTGCTCATGGTTTTGACCCTAACAGGTGCTACCACCCCGGGTCAGGGTGAACCTGGGAACAACATCGGTTAGGAGGTGGTTCCCCGCCCCTCAAAACCTCCTAGTCAGAGGCCTTGCTGCTGGATGTAGTTTATCATCATACCCAGAAAGAAAATGGTGAGTTAATGAATGCCAAAAGTTTCTTTATAAGGAAACGGTAATTTTCACCATTACCATCGTAGAGATATTTCTTGGGACTGAATTTTCACAAATTCAATTTTTAAGTTGCTAATGGATGTCGTTTTGCAGCAACAAATCCTTGAAGGTCATAATTTCGTAGATGATGTTTATTTTTTAATCGCTATCACCCCAAGCAAGGCAATAAAGCCACTAAAACGCAAGGGGTTGTGGGAGAATTAGGAACAGAAACATTAATGAGCAGGGATAGAAAAGAGTAATCAGGATGACAGTAGATAGCTATTGACATTGTATTTAAATTTTTGAAGATTAAAGTTGGCTGGAAAGCATAGAGCCAAAAGGGAATTCCACAAGTGAGAAGTGCGTGAAAAGAAAGTGTTAATATAAAATTTACGGCTACATCTAGCCAGCTCAACTGTAAATTGATAAGATCTCGACTCCAGTCTAGTACTGCGCTTAAATTCATAGAATCTAGGTACTTTAGCTAAGAGCTCATCCGAACAATTACCATGAAAGTATTTATTTTAAAATAAAGGGACAGAGAGGCAAATCTTACGACGGTGCGTAAGCGACTGAAGCCGAGCCGCCAGATCAGGATCAATAATATTGCTGATTCTTCTTTGGATCTTATCAAGGAGCTCTAGGTAAATAGCAAGGACACCGGACCATATGTAGCAGAAATATTCTAAGCATTTCTTCAGCCCACATATATATGCATTCTTGCATCTTTGTGTTTATTAATCAACGTGTATTAATTGACTAACGATATTTGTCGAATCATATCTTGAAGATAATATAAAACTAATTACACATGATTTAGCTTGAAGTGAATGGCTTTATCTTCGCATTCTAAAATCAAACCTTAGTTTTTTTTATTTAATTGCAAATAGTTGTTCTTCAGAATAAACGAAATAGCAAAATGAAAAGGAGCCATTCTCTACAAAGGAATGAGATTTGGCAGACAACAATCTATCTATCTATCTATCTATCTATCTATCTATCTATGTCTATTAATATCTATCTATCTAGCTATGTCCATTCAGATCTATCTATCTATCTATCTATCTATCTATCTATCTATCTATCTATCTATCTGTGTCAGCTTGTTCACATCTATCACTGTTTCTTAATAGCTACATATTTATGTCTGTTCACATCTATCTATCTATCTATCTATCTATCTATCTATGTCAGCTTTTTCATATCTATATCTATCTATCTATCTATCTATCTATCTATCTATCTATCTATCTATCTATCTATCGATGCAAATGTTTCTCGATTTTGCAACGCATTTTGTAAGAGTTGTTGGTTATTTTGGTCCGATTTAAAAATGAAAGTTATCCAACTTTTGGTCAACAGTCACTGACATTTTTAAATTCATGTCATCCAGCATGGTCGAATCCTGTTTTTGCTGAATGTAATGTACGTGTTCGCTTCTAGTTTTAATATTTATTTTTATTTAACTTTATTTATTCATCTGTTTTTTTTTTGGGGGGGGGGTTGCTTTGTTTCTTTTTCTCTCTCGGACCTATTAGCGTAATGTTAGATTCAATCGCGTATTGTTCTAATAGTTGCTAATTAGACATATAAGAATTTTCTTCTCCTTCCCCGCCATACCAACCTTCTGCCTCCTAACTAGCTCTGTGCATGTATGTATGCATATCTTCCTGTGGGACACACTCACACGCACGCACACACACACACACACACACACACACATATATATATATATATATATATATATATATATATATATATATATATATATATATATATAGTTTTAAGGTGTGCTATATTTATGGGATAAAGCGCTCAATATCAGAGATATAGCGTGTATAAATATAAATCTGAACATTGAATTCAATATTTAGAGGCGACAGTCTGTTTCATGCTAGACGCAATTGTCAAACCGCCGATTGCATCCAGCATGAAACAGACTGTCGCCTCTAATGTTGACTTCTATATATATATATATATATATATATATATATATATATTTAAGTTATGAAGAACTTGGTAAACCGAATTGGTAAATCCAAGGAGGATGAAATCCTGAGAGCTCAATGTGAGGAACAGAGCTAATATTTAATGAAAAACAGATCACTTTAAGGTACCATTACAATAATTTATTTCACCAAAATCCTTTTTAAAGGATTTCGGATCATCAGGTAAACACTTCCAACAATGAAATGAGAGGAAAAATGTCCTAATTTATATATATAAAAATGTCCTAATTTATATATATATATATATATATATATATATATAATTTTGGGTAAGTATTCTACTGTCGAAATATCGGTGACTTAGCCGGCTACCCCACTTAGTGTTCTCGAGAGTGAGGCGGTTTTTTACCAAGTCAGTAGGACGAAAACTAAGACCTAACAAAGGGCGGAAGAACTCTCGATGAGTCAAAGGCCAGTTAACAAGAGGCGGTGTCTCCATACACCACCGTTGAGAAGGCAACGGGAAACCACTCCACTATTAATCACAAGATACACCATTGCAAATAATATACACATTATGGAACCTAACAGTGTGAAGGGGGTTAAGACTATGGGAATTAACTCCTCGCTCATTAAGGACCGACATGCGCAACAGGTGTCACCTGACCGTCATCCAGCGACTGCTAGCATAAACGGCGTAAAGCGGATAGAATTCCTTGAAACCTATCCCTAGACCGGAATGGAGCGACATGAGCGACAGGTGTCACCGCACCGTCATCCAGCATCAAACAAAAAATAACTCTTGGAATATGGAACATTCAGACGTTGAACAACTGTGGCCAGTCAGATAATGTAAAACAAGAGATGAGTAGGCTAAAAATCAAAATCTTACGGGTACGTGAAACTAGGTAACCAGACGATGGAGATTTTGTCAGTGACAATCACAGGATTATTTATGTAGACACAGAGAGAAAAACGATAAAAGAGTAGGATTTATATTAGATCAAGAATTTTAAAAAAATGCGTTCTGGGATACTATCAATTTTCCAAAAGAATTCTGGTAGTCAAAATGAATGGAAAAACTTTCAACATAGCCATCATAATTGTGTATACAC